GTGTCGCTCCCACGCCTCGCTCAGCCAGTGAATGGGAACCGGTCTGTATGTGGGATCCGAACCCTCGGGCGGGAGCGCCGCCGCGCTTCCCAAGCGGCGCACTTATCCAGTGCGCCACCGGGCCGGCCCAAGGGTTACATTTTCTTTGAAGGAATTAAGGGAGCAGTCTAAGCAAATAACTGGGTGCAGAGTATTTTAATTATAGGGAACAGAAAGCACAAAAGTGGGAGTTTACTTAAGGAATAGTAAAGAGGACAGAGTGGCTGGAACAATGAACATAAAGGTGAAATTTGTAGGAGATGAGATCAGAAAGAAGTGAGTACATATAGGGCTGTCATGTCACATTTAAGGACTTTGGCTTTAACTCTGAGATCAGAAATCATTGCAGGATTTCAAACTGAGGAGGAACATGTTATAAAAGGCTCACTGCCTACTGGCTTGGTGAAGATAATATTGATAATAACTAACAAATGCTGACCACTTATGTGCTAGGTACTTTTGTAAGCACTTTACCTTAAATGACTCATTCTGAGAAAGGCTGCCAGGTTGTTTTATTTCATGGGTGCCATTCACACCTGAGTCTGTGTGCTCATTGTTACCTGGAGTTGTGCAGTGCACATGCTTTGTGGCTCTACTGGGTGGTCCTGCACCTGAGAATGGATGAATTCTTTCTGGGGGAGAATAGAATGAAGGATTATGCCCTGAGCCATGAAAGAAACTCAGGAAATTAGGAGTAAGAAAGTCTGAGAGAGGAGGGAGCATTGTGATCAGGGAGATTTAGTGTCAAAAACTGTAGATTTATGATTAGTACTCAGAAGAAAAACCACTGGATTTGGCATGAAGATCATTGGTGACCTTAGGTTCATGTTAAGACATGCTGGTTTAGAAACTCTTATTTTTGGTGTTAAGGCATTGGGAAACTGAGATTTTCTATGTGTTGTTCAAAAGACAAGTTCATAGATATTATTTAAAACAGAGTATCTTATATAAAAGAAGACTTGTTAATGCCTATCTTGCAGTGTTGGTTGTGATTAGTATAGACATTTTCTTATGGTATTCATGAATATTCTGTATTAAGATGAGTGCTTAATACTCTCAATACAAACTTAAAATTTCATATATATGTGGAACTTCTCAAGGCTTTGTTTTATTTTTTAAAATACATTATTATTCTTGTTACATGTCTAATATTGGTAGACATTTTTCTACATGAAAAAATTTTGTTTTTACTAACTCTAATTCCTTGAAGTTTATGATGATTACTATCGATTTATAAATCTTTTAAAGAGTATTAAGTACTTAATACATCCTCAGCATTTTAAGGATGCTTGAGGGTATGTGGATTCCATGAAAGAATTATTGCTGAACTATTCTTTGAACAAGTGTGGTGGAGAAGGGAAGGAGAGACAACATTATGTCTTCTCTTATGGCATCCTTTATCCTTGTCTGCCTTAAACTCTTTCTGACACATATACCTTTATGGAGGGAGTGGGAAGGGAAGTATCATGTGTTATATATTTACATTTGTATTTCTTAAATATTTTTCTGTCATTTTGCTTTTTTTATTGCTTCCTCTGCCATTTCCCTTTGCAAAAATTTCCTAACCTCAATTGATATCTTTTATATTACCTAATTTGATACAGTTTTTATGCATAATACTAGTATATTCCATGCTCATTTCAATGCCACAATAATTATTTGGAAAATATTCAAAGGTGTTAACATGGTATACTGAAAAGTTCTTTAGGTTTGGATTTAGATAGATGTCATTTCAAAACTCAAGTCTACTATTAGCTGTGTAATTTTGGGCAATTTTGTAAATTTGCTAAAGCTAAATAATAGTAGTACTTCCATTTGAAAAGATAGTTAGGAGGATGTTTTAGGATTAGTAAAGTGCTTATCATAGTACCTGGCATATAATAAGTGCTCAGTAAATACTGGCTGATAATTAGAATTGATAGGACAGTATTCTTAATAATTCATTTTGTTTCTTTTATTGCCCTTTTGTATGCATAACCTCAGTAAAATGAACAGCAAAAAGAAAATATTGAACATTTAGTATCTATCACAACATGAATTTTTGTTCTGTGATTTTGTGTGGATTCTCTGAGAATGTCAAGAATTTGGTTAACAACATCCTCATAGGCAAAAGTAGAGTATAAAACTTTTCTGAGCAGGAAAAAAATGTATATTCCCAGATCATACTTGAGGAAATGTAAAAGCTTTCTAGAACAGTTACATTGTGCAGTTGTGTATTTGAAAGTCTCTGAATTCTAGCATTAGTTCTCTGACTGAAATCACCGTAATTTTTAGCAACCACTCTGCATAGGAGAGTGGGATATGCATGGGAAATTTTTATAAAATTACATAAAGTACTTGAAGCGCCGTGTTTTACATTTCAGATTTATTAAGTATTTAAAATACATGTAAAAATTTGGCATGTAGTCATGATTTATTAAAATATTCTAATGGCTCTTGAACACTAAAATGATAGCTGTTATATAGTATGAAAAATAACACTCTGAACTCTATTTGGGAAAACCAGAACAGTTACATTGAAAAGCAAATTAAATTAATTTTAGAATTTCATTTGGTTTTACCAAGAAAAACCAAGCATAAGAATTTGTTATTCTGTGATTTAGAGTTATATATTCAAATCATAATTATTTTTAAAAATCAAATTTGTTTTTTGATTATATAATTGAAGATATCCTTTATAAAGCTCCCTAGCTATGTGAGGAATTATTTTTCTTTCCTAAGTTACTATTTTTCTTTTAAACTTTTTGAGCATTTCTGTATTACTTTGCCTTCATACCTCTGTTGATTAAGATGTTAATAATGTGAAAAAGTTAATTTTGAGGTAACAGGTGTTTTGTTTGTTTGTTTTTCCTCCTTTTGTAAGCTGTTTGAACTGCTGGGACCTGAAGGACTTGAACTTATTGAGAAGCTCCTCCAGAACAGAATTACAATTGTGGATAAATTTCTTAATTCTTCAAATGAGAAGTTTCAAGTTCTTCAGGGTAAGAAAGTATGCAGTAGTAATAGTAGTTTAAAGGACAGATTTATTGGTTAGTGATTCTTTTTAATGTAATTACACTTGCTATATCCTTTGGTCTATTATGTAACTTACTGATACCATTCTGTTAAGTAGATATGACCTATTGTCAAATCTTAAATCAATAAAAGCAAACGAATATAAGTGTCCTAAATAGGAGGGTATTATGGTGGTGTTTGGGTATGGCATTTTTTTTGTAAATGATTAAACCACTTAGAATAGACAATTTTTTTAAAAAAGCAAATATGCAAATACATTTATTGCTTCCTATGGGCCAATATTATAATTTCTCCCTAGCGTTTTTTTTTTTGAAAATTTACAAATCTGTAGTATATGTACAAGAATAACACAATGAACACTTGTATACCTTTCATGTAAATTCACCAGTCATTAACATTTTGCTCCCACTAGTGTCCCTTTCTCCACGCACAGACATGCACACGCACACCCCTACTTTTTAAATTTTTCTGAACAGTGACAGAAAGTTACAGACATCATGATACTTCACCTATAAAATCTTTAGGATGCATTTAAGAACGACAGTCTCCTACTTAACTGCAGTTTGTCACACTTAGCAAAATGAATGCTTATAGTGTCATGTATTACATATATTTAAAAACCCCAGAAAAATTAGGTAGAGTTGGCTAGGAAGCCAAAATGATAAAAAATGCTTGACTTATCATTAACACATTGATGACAAACTCAATGAACAAAATCAAAAAGGAAATGAAATTTTTAACCTTTACCCAAATGTATCTTATCCGCCTTACACATGGTTTGGGATTTTTAAAAAATACGTGTGCATGAGAAATTAGGCATGCTTCATTAAACTATTCAACATCTATCCTTCTTCTATGTAAGTTATCTCATCTCTTCCTTACTTTTATGATTAAGCCACTAAAAGAAAAGGATAAAAAACCAGCCTTGATTTAAATTCAAATTTCCTTACAGATTTCCTTTATTACTTATGGTTTCCCTTGATTACTGATAAATATTCTCAGAAGCGTAGAGTTGTTTGGAGATTGTTCTATTTTACTATATTGATTTCACAAACTTTGTTCTATTAGGATAACTTCTTAGAAACAACACACTTTTTAACTCAAAGCAAATGTTAAATTTGAATTATTAAAAAATATATATTTGAGCCATCAGTCGGCCCTAGAATGTTTTCTGTTGTTCTCAAACTGCTTTTACTCTTTTATTTCATGCTGGATCGTTATCAATGTTGCTACTATATAAGAATAATAATTATAGTATAGAAAATTTGGGGCATTTAAACAAATGGGTTTGAATTTTTTTATAAGGACTGTGATAAGCTGACATCAGCATATTTTCAAAGTTTTTTTTTGGTAGGCTTTTTGGTGTACATACGTTAAATATTTTCCTTAAACTTCTTCGGGGTGAGGGTAGGTAAAGAAATACCTTCTCTCTTGAAGAAGAGAATCTTTAGACTCTTGCTACTTTATTGTTGTTCCCATTCATTTATATCTTTTGATATATATTTTAATAATCTTTCAAAATTCACTCATAACTACGAAATTATATTTGTACTCTTTCTTAAGCTACCTTAGTATGGTAAATCATTAACCATGTACCATACTTTTCTTTGTTCTCTAAAATCACTGTCTTATAGCTCTGGCTCCTTTTCATTTAGCATTTTCTAGTTTTTATACTGATTTTTTTGTCTTTTAATCCATATACACATCTACCCTACTTCATCTCTGTTCTTATAACCAGGAAATAACAGGTGGGTGGGAAGTGAGTGGATACAGTACCTCTAAGTTGAGGATAGTTGTGAATTAATTTTATTTTCAGGGTTGACATGGAGATTGTTTAGTACAGGATATGTCATAAAATCAAAATTAAGTTAGTTCATACTGACAAGGGATGGTGTTCTGAGTGGTCATACAAGAATTTTCCATCGTGATCACATTCTAAAAGTTGCAAGATTCCACATTGTTCTTCAGTAAAATTTTGTGTTAGAATGATCATCAGGGTTATTTATTTCATTTCTACTTTCAGTCAATCTCTACATTTAGCCTAATCCAGCAAGGAGATCTATACATTTAAACATTTGCTACTTGACAACTTGAGTTTTAAAATAGTCTATTATATTCAGTCTTCCAGAATTCCAGTATATTCTGATTGAGACCTTATAAAGCTTTCAATGAGGTAGACGTATTTTCTTCTTATAATTTTAATTTCCTTATTTGGATGATCAAGAGTATGTGCAATAGTATTTTGTTACTATTACAATTGCTTAAAATGTTAATGACATTAGCATAGTGTTTAGTACATTACCCAAACTATTTACAGTTTCACACTTAAAATAACATTCATTTCTGATAATAAGAACATGGCATTGTTCACATTTTTAAACATTGTGCTTAATATCTGTGTTTCTGATTGTGTGACTTTGCAGACAATTTAACTTTTCTTTTAGTTCAGAGTACATGTGAAAACTGTCAGAATGCTGATTCTTTTTCTGACACTAAAAGTTACTTAATTATAAATTCAGTTATTATAATAGATGTATAAGACTTAGTAAGGTGTGTAAGACTCACTTAGGAAAATAATTTTTCAGAACTATACACTTTAGTCCTACTATAGATGGAATTGTGTCTCATTTCATATTTTTGAGACATACTTTCCTTTTTGAGGTTCACAAAGCCATTATGAAGGGTGGTTATTTCCTGTGATTAAGAATAAAATGACTTATTTAAAATCATGAAGCAGTGACAAATGTCTGAGAATTGTGAAGATTTGACTCAAAATGAATTTGAAAGCTCATATTCCCATCTTGATACCGTTTAATTCCTTCCTTGCTCTATATTGTATCTTGGAATTTAATAAAATAACTGACACTGTGCTTCATCAGAATACGGACCAAGTTTCATCTTCATTGTCTCCTTAGCCTAGCAGCAGTGCCCGGAATCTAGTAGGTCCTCAGTACAAAAATGCTTATTGACTTGGTTTGCTTTCACTGGACATTCCTTTCAGTTCCTTTAGGGCTACAGTAAGCCAAGATACTACTACTCGGAAAGATTTAATTAAACACACAAAAAAATAATCCTGTTGGAAGAAAATTTTTCCTGAGTATTGGGTTGACCAAACCAAGGACCTAAATTGCACTGTATAAACACTGAGTTTTGATTGACCTGGATCCCCTTAATGGTTCTGGCCTTCTTCGATTTTTTTAACTGTATTTCCATGAAGAAGTGGACCATACTCTTGCTTTATTTGCCGAGGTCATCATCTAAGTATGTCCCGGGATAATGTTAATAAATTTTATTTCCTGTATAAATACGTAGAAACATATGTACAACTTAACAGAGTAAGGCTTATTACATAGAGAAAAGTGACATCTAATATGTAAGTATGTTTTATTGTTATATTAACAGTAAATGCTTATTAGCATTGATAATTATAATATTTGTTAAAATTATATAAACAAATTATTTCAAAATTATTAAATTGAATTTTAAGGTTTCTGATGTTATTTATGTATAAGACTTTATAATGTTAGTAGCATTCAAGTGTTGTTTGTAGGAAGAAAATATTGCTCACTTTTCTTAAGTGACTATGTAATATCATTTAGATACTGTGATTTAAAGAAAACCTCCTTTAAGGGTATAATTGAATATACCAACTTTAAAAAATGAATTGTTAGAGCATTGTGCAATAATAAATTATGTTTTGATGAGAGGAAAAAAATGGTTTTTGTGAAGATTAAATCATGTTGAGATTTGTAAAACATTATGTTTCTTAAATTTACTTTGTAGACAATTGCAAAAAAATTTTAGGAGAAAATGCTAAACCCAATTATGGTTGTCAAGTCACTATTCAGTCTGAACAAGAAAAGCAGTTAATGAAGCAATATCGCCGTGAAGAAAAAAGAATTGCCAGACGAGAAAAAAGGGCTGGAGAAGATTTAGAAGTTTCAGAAGGACTTATGAGCTTTGATCCCAAGGAATTACGGATACACAGGTAATAAAAGCCAGAAGCTGAAAAATGCTTGTGTTATAATTGCTATTTTTATGTATCATTATAATTTTTTAGTTTAGTTTTAGTAACTTAGGTGATTCTTACTTCTAGTCAGAATTGTATTATATAAAAACCTAATTTTCTGGGATAAAAAGCAATGACTTGCTTAATTAGAATATTCTTGGTTGCTTTCACATAGGTGAGAGTTTTAGATTATAGAGTTAAGCTATTTTTAGGTGCTTTGCACACCCCAGTAGGTTAAGATTTATAGAGCCTACATAAATTTATTTTTAGACTTTTGTTTTCTTTCCTAGCATAATGATAATTTTTGCATGTTGTTATTTAGAAGTGAGAGGAGGAAAATGAAATAAAGGCAGTGTTGCACTTGCTTCTTTAAATATTGAAACCCATTTTTAAAAAGCAATTTATACCTTGTTAAGCATCTTTGGATTGTGAAATAATAAAATTATAAATAAAGGATGTTAAGTCAAACTTATTGGATGGTGTTATCTATAAATAGTGTCTAAAAATGTGCTGAAACCTACTTGGTTCTCCAGAAAATTTCAGGATTGCTACTGTCTTCTTTTGTGTAGTTTAATTTTTCTCTTTTATAATGGAAGGGTACTCAAAGTAATTATTATAATGACTTTGTTTTAGTATATACTTTGCATTTCAAGTTAAGGATTTTAAATTTGGCCTATTATTTTTGTATTTACAGAGAGCAGGCACTTCTGAATGCTAGAAGTGTTCCAATTCTGAGCAGACAGAGAGACATGGACATTGAAAAAATACGTTATCCCCATGTTTATGATTCCCAGGCTGAAGCCATGAAAACATCAGCATTCATTGCTGGTGCAAAGGTATGTCATTGATATATAACCAGTTTTAGATAATATACCTATTCTGAGAAAATGACATGTAGATTTTCCCTGCTTCCTTTGTGAGTCTAGTACTAGTTGACTAGACTGTGCTAAATTGTAATTAAAAATATTTGGGAAAATGACAAAAGGCAGTGTATGTGAAGGTCCTGACACATAGTACACAGAGTAGGTATTCAGAACATACTTGTTCACCTCCCTTTCATTATTTTTGCAATTTGTATTTTTGAGTTTTATTAGTTGTATCTTTGAATAAACTTTACACTTTATATTGCACATTTTCCTAGTTATGTGAGTACATTTGTATTCAGTAATACCACCAATTAATGTATACTTTAAGATTCATCAACATACTGTGGCCTGAATGCTTCATGTGTGTGTGGTTTTTTACATTTGTTTGTTTAATTAAGTTTGTTTTCTTTTAAATTAGCTAAAGTTATTTATCAGTGCTATGTTATAAAACCAGTAATGTTTTCTCTCTCTCTCTTTCTCTTTAATTGAAAAATTTTTACCAAAGCATTTGTTTTATTTTTCATTATTATTGGATTTTTATTTTTCATTATTATTGGATTTTTATTTTTGATGTTTATAGATGATTTTACCAGAAGGAATCCAAAGAGAAAATAACAAGCTTTATGAAGAAGTAAAGATTCCCTACAGTGAACCAATGCCAGTTGGCTTTGAGGAAAAGCCAGTTTATATCCAAGACTTAGATGAGGTGAGATGAGCCTTTTATAAAGTTGATATTTTTGAGGCTTGGTACATTATAAATCGGTATGTACTGGAAAAATTATTTTTAAAAATTAGTAGTCAGCTAATATAGTACAGAGGCATATATAGTTGGCTATTAAACAGATATATCAGAGGAGTTTAAATTTAAAAAAAAATGTGTGTACATACATTCTTTTATACATTGAACATATTTATGTATTTTTTTGTATATATATATTTATTTCATGTTTATTTTGGTTATTTCAGCTAATTTTTTGGTTTAACTTATGTAAGCTGACTTAAATAAAATGTTTTAAAGGAATCATGTATTGTATTGATATATCAAATGGCCAACCTATAATAGAATAATTTTTTTGAGGGTTGGATGGACCAAATTCTATAGTATTTTGTTTATTTTCCTTCAATTTTTAAATTTTGAATAATTACAAACCTATGGAAAAGTTGCATGAAATAGTACTATCTATATACCTTTTGCTTAGATTCACTATTTGTTAAAATTTTGCCACTTTTGTTTAATCTCAAAATAAAATCTTTCTTAATTTAGCTTAAAGTGTACACATCATTTAAAGCTAATTTTTTCATCATCAAAATGAAGTTGCTGGATTTTTTTCATATGTAAGTTATACAAAGTCATTCAGAAATAATGATACAGGTAAGCAAGAAGAACAGCGTAAAGCAGCATAAAGAATACTCACAGCTGACTGAAATTAACTCCATTCTGTACATATGTGTGTGTATCTATTTTCTTTTACAAAATGAAGTTACATCATATGTATTGGTATGTGTATGTGTTTGTATATATGCACACACATGCATACATCTTTTTGTGTCAATATACATATTTCTGCACCATCATTTTTTAAATCACCACACAGTATCCTATTTTATGCCTTTATTTGTTTTAAACCAATTCCTAAGTGTTATAATTTTGTTTTCTACAATAATTTAAATTTTATTTATTTTTTTGTGGCTGACAAGTACAGGAACTAAACCCTAGACTTTGGTTTTATCAGCACCATGTTCTAACTAACTGAGCCAACTTGCTGGCCCTACACTAAATTTTTATAGTAAAAGATGATTCTCATTATGTCTCGTATTAGTGGTTTTCATGTTGTGCATCAGAATTAACTGAAGAACTTTTTAAAAATCCTAATGCCTTGGCCCCTAATTAAACCATAATCTCTTGGGAGGAGTCCAGATATCAGTATTTTGAAGATGATTTTTGAAGCTTTTAGGTGATTCCAAAATACAGCCAAGACTGAGAGCCTGTAGAATTAAGCAGTTATACTATAATTTTTTAAAACCTTACCAATCATTGTAAACAGTATCATCATTGGGAATTACTTAGTTTTATATTATATATTAAATCTTTACATTTTTCATATAAAACATCATTGACATTTGTCATCTATAATAATAAATGAATCGGGCTTCTTATTTTTCTGTTATACTTTTTTGTAAATAAATATTTTTATCATTTTAATTTGGATTATAGGAGTACAAAAGTTTTTCTGAATGGGCTAATTCCATCCACAACCTTAATGTACCTTTGCCTATAACCTAATATATTTACAGATTCTGTGGATTAGGATGTGGATATCTTTGGGGGATCCTTATTCTCTCTACCACACATGATGTGGATAATCACAGTTTGTTTATTCACCCATTAAAGGACATTTATTTTGTTTACAGTTTTTGGCAATTATGAGTTGTATTAGTCTGCACAGCCTGCCTTAACAAAATACCACAGACTAGGTGGCTTAAACAATGGAAATTTATTTTCTTACAGTTCTGGAGGCTAGAAGTCACAGATCAGAGTGGTGCCTGCAGATTCAGTTTCTGCTGAGGGCCCTCTTCCTGGTTTGTAGACAGTCACCTTCTGCCTTCTTCCTGTGTCCCACATACCCTCTTTTCTGTGTTTGTGTGAAGAGAGACATCTGGTGTCTTCTTTTTTCTATAAGGATACCAGCCCAATGGGATTAGGACTCCAGTCTTATGACCTCTTTTAACCTTAATTACCTCCCTAAAAGTCCTGTCTCCATATGCAGTTGCACTGGGGTTAGGGCTTCAACATGAATTTGACAGGACACAATTCTGCCTATAACGTGGATAAAGCTGTCATAAACGTTAGTGTACAGTTTTTTTTGTGAAGATAAGTTTTTATTTCTTTGTGCTTAACACCCAGGAATGCATTTTCTAGGTCATACTGTAGTTGTGTGTTTAGTTTTTAAAGAAACTACATAACTGTTTTCGAGAGTGACCGTACTATTTTATATTTCCACCAGCAATCCAGCATGATCTAGTTTTTCACATACTAACCAGCATTCAGTGTTTACACTATTTATTTTTATTTTAACCATTTATATTTCTATTTTTATGTATTATTTATATTTTTATTTTAGCTATTCTGATTATGTGTAGTGATTTCTCATTGTAGTTTTAATTTCCATTTTTATAATGGCTAACAATAATTGGGGAATAATACATTCAAATGCAATGCATTATAAGTAAATAAGTAAATTATTTGCTGTCAAGCCACTTTAGATAACAATCCTGCCAGATGTCATAAGCTTGAATAGTAATACATATCTCAGGAGAAAATATAGATGTGAACAAAATGTCAGATAGTTTAATAGATGCTTCTCTTGACTTAGTTTTTGTTTATACTATGTAGGCTCTTTTATGTATCAAAAAAAGTGCTATGGAACATGGTAGGTGGTGTCTTTCTTTTTTCACTGAGCTCATAATTACCTGCCATTCCTTAATTGACCTAAGGAACTATAGATAAAATGCTTTTCTGTCTTTTCCTTGACTACATGTCACATTGGATAAATTTGTTCTGTCTTCTCAAATTACTTCTGTAATTTGATTAAAAAGTTAAGAAAAAATTTTTAATTATTAAATGATGTGCAAAAATATTGTTAATGTCATTTAAAGTGTTTTGTACTTTCTTAAAACACTTTTTTAGAATAATCTAAAAATTTTAAATGGGTATCTGGATTAGTCAGTAGTCACTCAGTTGGAAGTTACAGAAATCAGTCAGAGCAACTGAATAAGAAAATTTATTGGCTTTTCTAACTGGACTGTCCAGGAGTAAAACTGCCTATATGTACACCTTGAATATGTAGGTTCAATAATGTTATAAGGTCTTTTCCTCTGTCTTTATCTATTTCTCTCTTTGTTTTCTACTTTTTTCCTCTTTCCTTCCCTCTTTTTCCCTCTCTTTCACACTTGGAGGAGGCATGAGGGAGTTGAAAATCTATACAAGGTAATGTTTATAATCATGGATTATGAAAGCTAACTTTGTAAAAGCGAAAGCAAGAGCAAGAGGCTGATGTCTTCAGGAGAATTCAAAACTGATGAGAATTTGACACGCCAGTGTACATGTTACCTTTGCCATAAACTTTGTTCATTTGTTTGTTTTGGTAGTGCTGGAAAAAATCTAACAAATATAGAAGCAAACAAAAGTGGAATTCTCATGGTTCAGATTGCCGGGTGAGGGTAGGCCTGTATCAAGGACAATTAAAATTTGTAAAAATGATTAGAAATTTGATTTGTGCTACATTTGTATTTCCTTTCTCTTGAAATTTATAAAATCAGCTAAGATTTCTGTCAATGTGAAAAAAATCAACTCACTTTTTTGTTTTAACCTTTATATTTTCTGTTACTGTTTCTTGATCTTACCTCTTAAAAAGGCAGTGATTCAGTGTTATGGTTCTGATGAAACTGATGACATACTTGACAGTATAATAAGCGGTCTTGTGGGATGCTTTAGGAAAAGGCTTTTTATTTGTGATCATGTCCACATGTTAGTGACATTTTATCCTCTTCAAAATGATCTCATGAAAAAGATCCATGCTCTGAAGTGTTTTCTGGATGCTTTAACTTTCTCGCCTTCATGATTTGATTGGATCAAAATATGTCAATAAACTCTGTAGCTTTAAGATTCCCTTAGGTTCAGAGATCAAAGTAAAACAAAAGGAAAAGTTATACTTTTTATACTTACTCTATTTGAGTTTTTCCACATTTGTCAGTCCTAAGATAACCACACATGTCAGTAATTATGACTGTTTCTTTAGTTTCTGTCAATTAATTGGACACTATTCTAGCTGTCTTATTATGGTGACTGATGTTTAGGTCTTCCTGATCTTGTATGGTAGCATCCCATACTACTCCATGTGTTTTTAATGAAAGAATAGCAAAATAGCATAAATGAACATAGAAATAATTTATTTAATAAAGATAATTTTCAAAAATATCAGTAAGGAAATGAAAAGAAAAAAAAGTTTTACGTTTTATTATTTTACCTAGTTTATGAACTGACATCCTGCTCCAAGTCAAATTACAATTTTCTCGTGCAACTAAAGTTAAAGTTTCTGTTTTAGTCTGTATTCTCAGGTCAGCTGTTAAGTACAAGTTTTTTAAAAGTTTGTCTTATTTTTTCATTCTAAATGGGATGAACTTGTTAGGTGGCGCTGAACAAAACAACATTGGAGGAAAGTATGTATTAAATTCTTAAAAGTACTGTACCTAAGTAAGGAATTATAGGTGCACTTTATATTTAATGGAAATATAAATTTTCTTATTATTTCAGATGTATAAATAATTAGACTATATAAGCAGTTTTTCAAAAATAATTGATTTATGGCACTAGTTTTGTGATCATTTGAATAGTTCTAGAGGAGTAAATATCAGAGTTTGTTAATTATAAAATGTTGGGAGAAAATCAGAAGTAGATGTTTTAACCAAAAAAAACTTTACATTTAAAGATTAACATAATTTCAACTCCCCTTGTTGAAAACAAATCATTAATATCTATTATGTAGCAGAATATTTGTTTTATGAAATATGCCCAAATATTGGTACTTGTTTGTATGAAGACTTAGTGTATTCATAGGAAGTGTACTGGTTTCTAGATATATTAAACACAGTAAGTCACAAGCACAAATCATAGTCAGAACTGACAAGACCTATATTGTGATGATG